CTTGCCAAAGCTGTCGACAACTTTAGCAGCACAGCCAAGAGCCATTGGAGCTCACTCCTGCTTTTTTCTCTAAAAGCAGGAGTTTGCCTGAACAGGATAATTCCAGGACCCCAAATTTAGGAGCAAGCAGATCAAACATTCCTCAAATATCTATTTTATTTCTATGTTTTAAATTGATGGCTCACATTCCTTCGTTGATCTCGGATATTAAGGTTTGCTTTTGGATCAAAAACCATCAGCAGAAATTCTTGTAACTGCCTCAAAAGATTCTGGACAAATATTTCCCTTTAATTGTAATGAGAACTGGGCATCCATATGCCCTACAGAGCCATGGAAAATTTAACTTTTAAAGGATTATTCACACAGGAAAGCTGAACCAGCTTAGCCAAAGCATTTATACTTCTTCAGACCTTGATGTCCTAAAAACTAGTTTTATTTTGGTTTACTAAAGTTGATTAGGAACAGATTTTTTTTTAAAAAACTGAAATAAGCTACTTTTAAAATGAAACTTGAACATCTAAAGGAGATTTGTGTCTTTTCCACACATGCAAGATGCTTTATCGATTCTACTTTTTTTCCTCTGCAGCATTTTCCTATATATGCTGCTTAAAACCTGCTGCCATAGAGACCAGAGCTGGCTTTGTACCTGTGCACATCTTGCACTCCAGCAAAAACTCAAATTCAGTATCTAGAGCCTCCTGTTACACCTCAGGGACAGTTCTGCTGCCACAGAGAAATGACACATTATTTTCTCTTAAGGAACTGCTCACAAAAATTTGACCAGACATCCATGAACTGGCATTTTTTCCTGATGAAACAAAAGCTTTATCAAATTGTTTATCCTTGGCAATACCTGGATAGAAATTACAATGCTGCAAAGACTGGCACCTTGGGAAAAAACCCTAGGAAACAGCTAAATAAATAATCTAACAGAAAGAAGAAATCCTGAGCCATGAAAGCTGTGGAAGCAAAGATTAACTTCCAGCAGAAATAAAGTCCCAAAGATGAGATTTCACAAAGAATGGTTTGCCACGATCTACAAAAGAATCTACAATTGTTCTGTCAAATAATAGCACATAAAAGTGAGAGGATGAAATCGGAAAGCCAGATTTATAACCAAGTCCCTCATTTGCTTTCTGCTTTCCCCACCCCTCGTACAATTTCAGATGTGTGGAATTCCTAAAATCCGGCAGGAAAGGTGTGCACCCTGCTAGGACAGAGCGATGCCCCCACAGCAGCGCGGCCAGAGGGGAGAAATCCAGATGTGCAGCTGCATCTGCATCCCCTAATATACCCCGTGCCCTTTATTAGCGTCTAGATTGATTTGATCAATTTGATTTAACAGGATCTCACCGACTGGAACTTTTCGGTAGAGGTTTTTAGGGTATTTTTTGGTTCAGTGTTTTTCCTGGGGGAAGGGATTTTTTGGTTGGTTGGTTTGGTTTTGGAGGACTTTTTGTTTGTTTTAACACACACGCACACACACATATATATATAAATACACACACACGGGAAGGTTTGTGAACAATCATTTCCAAAACCAGGCACTCACAGCTCGCTGTGGGTGCTGGATTAATTCCCCCCATCCCTGCAAAGCGCTGCAACCGCGCTGTGAGCAGGGATGGGAACCGGGATGCTGCAGAGGGAACCGGGAACCGGGATTCTGCAGAGGGAAGCGGGGACGGGGACCGGGAGCGGCCGCCCCGCCGGGGCTCCGCGGAGAGCGGCTGCTCAAACAACGGGATTCCCTCTGCCTCCCGAAAATCCTGCCCTGCAAAACGCCCCTGGAGATGGGCAGCGCCTGAAGGGATCACCCGCGGCCGCTTTCCTCTCGTTCCCCTCCGGTTCGGGCAGCCGTGGGTACCCAGCGCTCCGGGCAGCGCCGGGGACGGGGAAATCTTTCAGCCCTTTAAAACCATCACCAGAAAATCCTCCGGAGGAGAAATCAGTAATTAGAGCAAACCTCAAAGAGGAGGAAGGGGAGGAAGGCTCTGAGTGATGGAGCCGGCGCCCATCCCGCGGGCGCTGCCACGGGCGCTCTGAGGGATCCGAGCGCTTTTCTAAAAAGTTCAGGGAACTTTGCTAACATAAACTTTTTATCTTTTGATGATCCTTTTAATATAAAATAATCTTTTTTTTCCCCTCCCACAATGAAGCAGTCGGACATTAAAAAGATAGCGAGTGCATTTTAAAGATGTTTCCACTTTATAAATCAAACTTTCTTGGCAACAACATGATTTCTATTTCAATGCTGAGCTTGCTGTGTTCTCCTAATATCTCCTACAGATCAGTCCTAAGAGGGAGTAATAATCCCCTAAAGTAATTCTCAGCCCTAAATTCTCGATAATTTATAGTTGGCTCGTTCTGTGGAGCTCTACAAAGAACGAAACAAATGACTCCCCCTTTCCCCCCCAACCAAGTTATCAATATTTGCCTTGTTTATACAAAAAAAGCTATTTTACACCATTGCCATGGAATTAACGCTTCCGCTGAGCTTTATATTTCCTCTCCATTGAGTGAACTTGTCATTAAAGTCACTCGGTAAATTTAAAAATCAGGCTTCCATTTCTTTTCGTTTGTGCCCCTTGAGGTCAGACAGACCTACATTTAAGTGATTTCAACTAACGGCATTCAGGGGCATCTCTGTTCCTGCTGGGAGGGGGATTAGAGTCCTGATTAGTGCCTGCAATTAGCCGCTTTCCCTCTTTCCACACCCCCCCAATGCTAAATGCAAGCGCACACAAATCTCCATTAACCATCGTTTTTTTAATTGGCTCAAGAGGAGGTTTATTATTGCGACTCTCTATTTAAATAGCCTGGGTAAAATAAAATCTGCATGAAGTAATAATTTTCATTTCGTCCTTTGCATGGGGATTAGCAGCAGACTGCAGCTCGTGGGCTGCCCTGCTCTCAGCACGGCCACGCGTGGCACCGCTGTGAACCGAGACTCCAGGCACCACGGGATTTAAGCTGTTCGATTTTTCGGCCGTTCTCATGTTAATTATTTTGTGTATTTTTGCTGTCGGTATTGAGGTAGAGCTCAGCCCGGGCCGGGGAATCGAGCCGGTCCCGGGGCTGCGGGGCTGTGCCTCGCTGCTAAAAACACCGATAAAAACCCTCGTCCTGTATTTTGACACCATTTGCAGCTGAACCAAATGAAAAAAAAAAAAAAAGGTTCTTTTGTTCTGTGTTATTCAGCAGCATTTCAGCCACTTCTTTCATTATCTTTTAAAATTCAAAACTGTTCTTAAAAATAAAATTAATTCTTTTAGCTCGATGGCGCAGCACTGAATTTCGCCAATGGAAAATTTGGCTCAGATAAAGTAAAAAACCCAAATTTTTGTACATCTTGTGGTCTACGCCTCATCCCACCTCCTGAAAGGTGCACTGCCAGCTCCACCGGACAAGGAATGTGGGACTGAGCCCTGTCCATATGGAGCTGTTTAAACAAGCCACGTTAAGGCTTACAGAGAGATAACATGCACGTTTGGGATGCTTAGGGTCTAGAATTTGGTACAGATATTACACGTCTCCACAGGCACACTCAGATACTATAAATTAAGGGTGAAATATCTGAGGTCTTGATCCCCTCATCTGAGCTGACTTAGGGAGCAGACCCATCCAAATGAACCCGACTCTTCCCATCAGCAGACGCTGCAGAACAAGCCCTGAGATTTTTATATGCCAAAATAAGGTGTGAAAAGGACAGAGTTACCTGCACCATCACTCCATAAACAGCCACATAGCAAATAAATTGAAGATTCCTGGGACATACATCCTCTCTCCAAGGGGAATAATGAGAATTTCTTGCTTATTAGAGTCCAAGTTGCCTACAGCGAGCAGCTGCTGCACAGAGCAGCATTGCTGGGATGGAGGAAAGCAGAGGGAAAGTGCTCATCAACCCCAAAAATTCAATGCCGAGGGTTGGGTTCTGGGTCTCACAGCGTGAGCAGCAAACGAGAGAAAAGTCACACACACCCTCCACGAGCACCCACGGCTGCTCTGCACGAAGGACCAGAGACCACAGAGAAATAAATACTGCACAGAAATTATTTGTGGGTTTTTTTCCTCTGTTTTCTCCCCGTTATTTGAGTGTCTGGCTGCACAGCTTGCTAGCATGGTGTAAAACAAGCAATCGGAGGGCAGGGCAGAAGCACTCAGCCGTGCTGGAGTTAAATGTTCATGCCTCGATTTTTCCTCCCAGCAGCAGCAGCAGCAGCGAGGTGAGCCCGCTGCCGCAGAAGCCAAGGGCAGATACTTTGGTACCCACAGTGACACCCGGCTAATTTTCTTGGGAATTAGCTAATTCCCGAGCCGGTGATGGTCTGAGGTTTAATTCTGACTCTTAATTTTCTGACATTTATTCTGCCATCTCCCACTAGAGCAGCCCGGGAGACCTGAGCAGAGGCAGGGCTGAGTTCTCTGGACAACCAAAACCTCTGAGGCTCTGGTCTCCCTTCCTGGGTGTGCACACTGAGGGGGCTTTGTTTTGATAAAAATAATTATCTGTTTGCAAGGGAAAACAGATTTTTTTTTTTTTTTTTTTTAACCCAGAAGCGGCACCCATTTCTCTTTCAGTTTTGAGATTAAAAGAACCTTTGCACTGCTAAAACTTTGGTCCCAGCACAGGTCTTAGTGCATGGCACAGAAAAGAGAAGGGGGTTTGCTTTGTGGGGAAAAAAACCCAAAACACCATAATTATGCTAATTTCCTAATTAAAAAATAGTTTAAAAAAAAAAAAAAAACCAACATTACCAGAGAGAATCGGGACTAAATGTTCCAAACGACTCCACAATATTTTTTTTGCATTTACATTACAACTGCCATACTCAAACACATGTAGAGTTTACACTGAAAAAATGATCTTACTAAAATCTGCAATCACAATAATATTTTTTAAATGCTACTGACTGTACCAGCTCTGCAAAACCCAGTCTTGGCAAACAGGACATTTCACAGAGATCAGAAGCAATACATGTTTCCAGGGAATTTTCACTAACCTGCCTGCTTTGGTTATTATCATTTCCGTACCAGCTTCATGAAATTTCTTCCATAGCTCCTTCTCATGGAGATAGACTTTGATATTTTCTATTGTCTGTAAAAAAATTAAGATCATGAGAACAGCAAGAAATGATGGAGAAAACCTGCGAGGAGGGCTGGGAAGGGCCGGGGAAGGGCTGGGGTTTTGGGGCTCAGGGCCCGCGCTGCAGCCGAGGCTCCGGGCGAAGCCACCAGCCTGTGCGGGAGGAGGCTGGAGTCTCAAAAATTCCGCTGTCCTTTGCCAAAAATAAAAGAAACAAACGGAGGCCGGTTTTAATTGCAGACTTTCACAACCAGGCAGGACACTGCGGCTAAATGGATTTTTTTTTTTTTCTTTTCTCCTTTTGGGGTAGACTCGCCTTAAGCCTCCCAAAAACCGGGGCCAGGAGCAGCCGCGGGGACAACGCATCCACGTCCAGGGTTGCGCTTTGTGCGTTCCGCGGGATGCCGGGGACATCGCATCCCGCGCGGAGTGAAGGCACAGAAGCCGCGTTTTATTTAGGGATGGAAAACCCCCAGTGAATTCCCCGCCGGGCCGCAGCCCCGGGAGGAGCAGCGGCGACTCCGCCACGGGTCGGGCCCTGCCGGCCGCGGCTTTCAGCGCTCGGATTCGCCCTTTACCGACTTACACACCGACGGCGGGGCACGGCTGTGGACAGGGAAAATAAAATGATAACAATAAAAAATAAAACCAAATAAAAGTGAAGAAAAACGAGCTTTCCTCGCAATCCCTCCCCGTGTCGTAGCCGGGGGAGATGCGCGGTGGCGGGCCGGGCTGGTGGCGGGGGTGAGGCGCAGCAGGGCAGGACGCGGGGCCGGACGGAGCGTACCTGCTCGGGGTCGGGGAGCTGCGGGCTGCTCAGCGGCGTGCTGCTCCCCCCGGCTACGCCGAGGACGGGGGAGCCGGCGGAGGTGTCCGCATGGCCGGGCGCGGGGGCTGTTGGAAACCCTTCCTCGGTTTCAGACAGGCTTTTCTCCTGGAGCATTTCCTTGGGGGAGAGAGGCGCAATGTTAGCTCGCGGCACCGGGGGCCACGTCCAACCCCTGCCCCTCGCCCACTCCCGGGCACAGCCACCTGCGAGCTCAGGCCCTCCCGGCCCGGCCCGTGGTCGCTCCTCGGGCGGCGGCACTCGGCGACACTGGGATGTGACACCGTGGGCCCCGGGGGAAGCGGCTGTGCCCGGCAGAGCCGGGCCTGGCCCGCCAGCCCCCGCGGGGGAGCCGCCCACGCGTGGCTGCGCTCTCGCTCGAGGCCAGGGCAGCTCACGTCTGATGTGGCCGCAGGCCCCCAGCCCCGATTCTTTCTCCTCTCCGGTACCCGTCGGGAAGGGCAGCCCGGCCCGGTCGCTCTCTCTGCCCCGTCCCGTCGGGGCTGAGGGGGCTCCGCGACGAAGCGCTGCGGCGGAGCCGGACGGTGTAAACAGGAGGAGTGCTGGGCTCCGAGATAAAAGGGCCCCTCTTAAACTTGGACGGAGACTGGGAAAAGCCAATAAAGATAAGGCCTGACAGCTCCGCCGGGGCTGCCGCGCATCAACGCCGACTTTTACAGCGCGGAGGGACGCGGCCGCCCGCCCCGCTTGACGGACAGACAGACAGACAGACGGACGGGCAGCGGAGGCGCGGAGGGGGAGCAGCTCCGAGGGGGCTGCGGGGTGCCGGTCCCGGGGACCGAAACCGGCGCTGGCCGCGGACCTGCGGCCCCCGAGAGAGCGCTCCTGAGCCCGGCCCGCAGCCCCGGTCTCTGCCCCGAGCCGCCAAGGCCCAGCCGCTCTTCGGGACAGCGGCCGTGCAGGGGGAGAGAGGGGCTGGGACCCCAAACTGCAGCTCCAGCAGAGCTCCGGTGAGAGCGGGACTGGCACCCCGAACTGCAGCTCCAGCAGAGCTCCGGTGAGAGCGGGGCTGGGACTCCCAGCTCCATTCGCACCAGAATTCCAGGGAGAGCTCCCGCCGAGGAGCCGGACAGCCAGCCCGGCTTGTGTGCGAGCGGACACACATACCCCAGTGACCAGCCGCAATCCTCGGGACAGGGAGCACCGAGCGCGGAGCACGGTACGGGACTCAATGCCCCGAGAACTCCACCGGTCCCTCCGCCCGCCTCGGGGTGTCAGGACGGGGCGGCCCCAGCCGAGGCACGGATGTGTCCCGGCGTCCCACCGCAGAGCGGAGCCGGGTGACCGGGAGGGCACAGGTGGGAGGGAGGTGTCCGCGGCGAAGCCCGAGGGCAAGGCTCCAGCCCCGGACCGGGACCGGTGCTCCCGGTACGGAGCAGGTTGGCTGCCGGGGAGCAGCAGGGAGCAGCGGGCAGGCTGGCGGCGGTGTCCCGCCCCAGGCCGGGGCTCGGCGGGCTGCAGGGAGCCCCGCACCCTGGGACCCCCCGCTCCCTCCCGTCCTTCCCCGCGCACCCCGGGAACTCACACGGCCGTCCGAGGGGCAGGAGGCGCAGCGGGGGACTCCGGGCTTGGCCTGGGGGCGGCTGCGGCATGAAGGGCATCCGCGGGGTGTTCAGGCCGGGAGCGGCTCCGCGGCCCCCGATGGCAGCGGCGTGCGGAGCATCCCCCGCTGCGCGGATTCACTTTCCCTTGATCTCGGCGGAAAATGTTCCATAAAGATCCACTTTGGGGCCTTTCGACTCCCTCCCTCTTTGTCTCCCCCCCCCTCCCTTTTCCTTCCCCTCCTGTTGCTGACGTTGCCGCTGTCAATCACATCCCCTTACACCGACTCTGGCCCGCTCCGCCCGGCCCGGCCCGCCCGGCCCGGCCCGGCGGGGGCAGCGGCCGCCCGGCTCCCGCACACCACACCCGGCCGCGGCCTTCCCCGGCCTGCCTCGGCGCTGCGCCGGGCCTGGCGGCGAGCGGAGCCGCTCGTTGCTCCGGGAAGAGCCCGGGGAGAGGGGACATGCTCGGCACCACCGTCCCCTCACAACCCCGACGGTCCTGGGGCTCCCCGCTGCCCGCCGTGGAGCCGGGCAAGGCCGGGGCTGCAGCGGAGGGCATAGGCCGCGCTTGGAAGGGCACCCGGCTCGGCGGGACTCCGCGGCGGGCGCCGGGGTAGCCCGGGAGAGGTGATGGGGAAGAGCTGGGATCACGCCTGGGCAGGGGTCCCGCCTCAGGAGGGGCCCACAACCCCCGTGGGGCTCCCTGACCCTGCACTGCAACCAAAGCATCCATGTCCGCCAGGCTGCGGTCTGCCTTCAGTTGCGGGTCTCCCTGCGCGCCCGGGGACGAGGACAGGGCTCACCCTTCTCTGTCGCGACAGAGAGCCCTGAGCCTTTCCACAAGGCAGGCAGGAGCTGGGCGGCCACAACAAAGTGACGGCCAGGCCAGGCCGTCAGGGCCGCCCCGAGGTGAGGGCGGCAAGGGAAGAGGCCCGTGACACCACGCGCTGGAGCTCCCTCACCCTGCGGCACGGGCACCGCCTGCTCGGAGCTCCCACCGCCAAGCTAAACCCACAAATCAGGAGGAGAGCCCTTGCGGGAGAGTTCCCGAGTGCTGTCGCGACTCAAAGGGCCACTTCAGCTCGGCTGTCGCGATTACCAAGCCACACACACGCTGCCCTCCCTGCGCTGAGCCGCCCCTCACATCCCAACCGCGCCCAGGCCGCCGTGTGTACATAGGCCTGTCGCGACAGCTCCACATCTGTGCCCCGCGCTATGTCGCGACAGCACCAGGCTCTGCGTTTCTCCGTGCCCCCCGAGCCCCTGCTCATCCCCTCCGCGCCCTTACCCGAGCCGGGGGTCCCGGGCGGGCGCCGAGGCGCCGCTCGCTCCCGCAGCGCCGGGCTCACAGGGACCCCGCCATGGGCCGGCGGGGCTGCGCGGGGCAGGGGTCTTATCGGGGTTTTCTTGAAAGTGAATTTAAACCCAAACTCACTCCCACCGTCACGTGGTGCAGAAATTGGGAACAGGAGCAGAATAAAAAGTAAAGTGGGGTCAACCTCGTAATGAACCTTTTCCCCACTCCTACCAGAAAAAAAAAAAAAAAAAAAAAAAAAAAGAAAAAGAAAAAAAACGAAAATAAAAAAAATAAAATAAATAAATGAAGGGGAAAAAAGGACCCGAACGGGCCGGGAGATGCGAGGCGAGCGGAACTGGCGGGAGCCAGCGGGATGGGGCAGGTGAGACCGGGCCGCGGCGGGCCCGACAGGGCCGGGGCGTGAGGCGACCCGCGACCGTGCTGTCCCCGCACGGACCGGGCCGGGACTGACAAGGGGCGAAGGGTGAGGAGCCGTCCCGACGAGGGGCAGCGAGAGGCCCGGCTCAGCCAGGGCTCCCGGGAGCGCTGCTCCCGCCGCTGACCTGCCCCGCTGGGTTCCCCGGCGGTTCCGCTACGGGCCCGGCCCGTGCCCCAGCCCCGCGGCCACCGCCCGTCGCTTGGACCGCTCGGTCCCGCCGCCGGTTCCCACCCCCGGGCCGGGCTCTCCCCGCGGGCTGTGGGACCGGGGAGGCTGCCGAGGGTCGGGCTCCACGGCAAGGTGAATTCTGGTGTGACTCTGCAGCCGGGACCGGGGGCTCGGCTTTGTCTGGAGGGGTTTCCCTTCAGCCCTTCCTCCCGCAATCGCGGCAAGGGTTCAGCCGGCCGCTGCCTGAGCTTCCCGACCTTAAATGCAGTTTTCCCCCTTGAACAACAACAAAAAAAAAAAGGGCGGAGGGGCAATCCTAGGTGGCGAGGATTTAATTAAAGTAAATCCAGAGACTCTCAGGCCTCCTTCCAGCCTCACATTTCCCGTCGGTGCGTACGGGGATGCAGGAGCGGTGGGGTCGGGCCCATTCCCCGCCGTGCGGCCCCGGTTGAGCCCGGCCGCGCTCGGCTCACCGTGCCCTGAGCCCGGGCAGCACCTGCCCGTAGCGGGCTCCGGGGCCGGTTCCTCCGGGATTGCACAGATTTCCTCATCCCCCGAGCACGGGGACGGGGCCGACACGGTGAAACGTGTCACCGAGGGGTGAAACGTCCTCTTCGGACGGAGCCCCCGGCTGCGGCAGCTCCGTGCGCTCCCCGAAGGCTGCGGCAATTGACGGCGAGGCGAAACCAGCCCGACTGTCATCACCCGGCAGATAAACGGCCGGATCCCCGACGGCAGGGTGGCTCCTATTCACGGCTCATCAACGCCGAGCCAAGGGAGCAGTGGGAGGATAAGCCCCGCTCTCAAGGACCAGCGCTCCAAAGCACTCATCACTGTCACCGAGCTCGCTCATGCCTTGGCCCTAAACACCGGCGATTAATAAAAGTTTACTGTCGCTTTTCTCCGAAGTTACACAGTCCGCGGGCCGGGGAAACCCGAGTGGGATCCGTCCCGCGGGATGCTCCTGCGCTCTTCCAGGCGCTGCCCCTTTCCGTGGCTCTTCTTCCCCCGAAGGAAACCTGCTTCTCTTCCCCCCAGGAAAAGCTGCCAACCACGACGGAGACGAGGGGAGAAGCGAACGCCGAGCCCGCACCCGACGGAACCGCGCGGCCCCGACGGCGGCGGCTCAGAGCCCCGAGCGAGGCGGGGGGAAAGGCAGGAGCGAGCCTCGACCGCGTGGGTTGGCGTAGATTTACTGACTTGAGAGGAAACTCACCGGTTTACACAGCTGAGAAGGGTTTGAATGGATGAGTACTGAGAAAAAGTTGCCGAATTTGGCCAGTAACAAGGCTGGAAGAATGGAAGGCTGATACTGAGTTATGCACGGACTCGGGAGGAATTACACAGCATCAGAGTCTTGCTTCTAAACAGCGACAGTGCCAAATTTCTAATAACTGTGTAATATGCTTATTTATACCATACAAGGACTTACAAACCTCATTGTGCATAGCAGCTGGGTCATATTTCTTTACCCTTCCATTCCTCAGGCTCTTTTGCCAAGAGACTGGTACCAAACACTTCTAGGCTGAAAGGAAAACACAAAATTTAATCGCAAAGAAACGATGACAAGGAAGCGTGGGTAAGATACGGGCTGACGTGCAGCCCTTTAATCTTAAGCATCTGCCTAAAATAGATCCACTAAGGGGGT